ATAAAAGTAATGCGATATAAAATTTTAAATCCTCTCAACATCCGAAAATGTAAATGTCAGTATATAATACGTTCATTGTTTACACAAACTGCGTATCCTAGTAACCATGTGTTACACATTTTAATCAATAAATGTATCAGTCATTTGTTAGCCACACACAATATATATATTATATTACTTAAGAATTGGATGCTTTATCTGAAATATTACAGCGTCAAATATCTGAGTCATTCGATTTTGTTTTCCTTTATCATTTCTCCGTGAGTCAATGAATTTTTAAATAGCACTTTGTCATTCACCGGCATTTTACCTGGCGCAAAACTAGGTCAACATGTTACAACATGCCACGAGGCCTAACCAAAGGGGGATTTCGGAGGGATGAAACTTACCGACGACAGTTGGCTCTAAGTCAACGAAGACGGCTCTTGGCACGTGTTTGCCGGCGCCAGTCTCGCTGAAGAAGGTGTTGAAGGAGTCGTCACCACCTCCGATGGTCTTGTCACTGGGCATCTGACCATCAGGCTGGATTCCGTGTTCCAGACAGTACAATTCCCAGCAGGCGTTACCGATCTGGACTCCGGCCTGTCCGACGTGGATGGAGATACATTCCCTCTGTTGACGAAAATTAGAAAATCAGACACCTTGTTCTTAAAAGGTCTAGCACAAAACCAATGAACACTGATCAGCAAATTCTTCAGTTTGAATACAAAACTTTTTAACTCCAAATTTAAGATAGAGGGAATTTTCTTTTGCTTTTTCAAATTATTTCACCAGGGAACCAATGTGTCATTGAATTTTTTTTCTTTAAACAAAGCTAAAGGTCACATAATTGATTCGAATGAATAAATCAATCCAAAAAAAGCGATTTTTAAGTGTATAAAGAAAAGTCATTTAACTTACCATGATTGTAGAGTTTTCTTGGTTTTACACAAAATGTGAAAAAAGTTTGAACCGTCAAGGTTTTATCCTCACGTGAAGCTGTAAAGTGCTCTGTGAGAAAACAGGTAATGGCGTCCGCACCGGTCTCTCGCAATTTATACCTCATTGCCCTGGAAACACAAGACATACGGCGCATACTGATTGGTTAATTCAAATTCTGAGCACATTCGGAAGTGCAAGGTGTACAATTATCTTCGTTAATCGACAGTGTAAAGGTTTGAGGTATTCCGCATAATATTGACAGACATCTGTTGTTTACGTTCATTGATCTGGAAAGTACCCGAGGGTATACGAACGGTTTTGACGACCATGTTTTATTGATTGACGACCGTTAACTGTAGGTTTAAAGATCTTCGGGAATGAAATTCTTTTGTTTGATAGATTAAAGTTTAAAGGACAGAAAGTTTGTTGTATGCCCGCACTAGGTAACGCCGTCAATCCCGCGAAATTACCTGAGGCCCCGACAGGTTAATTTAAAAGATAAATAGGTCTGAATATTTAAATGCGCATTGTGTTACACGTTTAGACAGTATTACTGGGTTTAGATTACAACATAAAAAATTAATAACGAATTGTAAAAGAAAGTAACAAATTAAAGTATTCAGCCGAAAGAATAATATGGGATTATGCATGCTGAGAGACGAATTTTTACAATTGATTTAGATTGACATTATGAATATTTTTGCTAAAAAGATAATATCTCTTTTGATTTTATAAGTGTTTCGTGTCATGGGTTATTTTATTTACATTTATATATATATATTTATATGTATTTTAAAATCCATTCGAATACCGGTATATATATATATATATATATATATATATATATATATATATATATATATATATATATATATATATATATATATATAGCGGACTCAGTATATTTACCATTACTACAATTGTACATACATGTATATGTACATGACATGTGTAAACTTGTGTTATGAAGAAAAATAAAAATTGTACTTGAACATAACAAAACGTTATGGTATACACCAATGTTCACGGTATTTACTCAACCATCCCAGTTCATATAATATTTTTTAAACCCCATTTTACAAATTAAAACGAATTTTCATTACAGGAATATGAAGCTCTATATTTAACAGTTTGTAATCAGGTCTTTAACCTTATTTTTTAAAAAAAATGCAATAAAAAAGTTTCTTTGTGCCGCTAGTTAATTAACTGAAAAATTGTAACATTAGGATATCCCAGCGTACTTAATTTTATGTGTAACCATAACCAGTTTATATGTCAGAAGGGGACTGGGGAGGGGGGGATTACCGACTACCTATTCCCTAAGCAGTTGTAGGAGCGCGGTATCGTTGAAGTCTACCGTGAAAAGTGTAAAGCATTGTCAATAACGTCAAATTGTTATAAAATCATGAATGGGCACATTTTCATAACCAAACCCAACCTATAGCTAAATGTATTTGACCGATTATAATTACATGAACAGATTTGGAATTTGATTTAATTCTTTACCTCCATAGATGGATTTAAAAACCTTGAGACCATCTATTAAATATGATCGATTGATCACACAAAATAGTTGCTATTCATTGACGTAGAAACTTGAATTGCATTCTGGCGCGATCAGATATTTCACTGAAAATATTTAAAGTGCAATAACGTCTACACACTAAGCTATTTCATGGGAGGGGGTAGTTAAAAAGTTCGAGTACATTGAGGCAATGAAGTTCATTTAAGATTAAAGTGGTACACTGTATACGTAGCTACCTCTACACCCTGTCACCACTGCGCATGCATAAGAGTTTTCTCAGCTTATAGTCGTAACTAAGATTTCTCTGTTTTCCCAAGTTTTCATAGCTAAAGGAAATTCCAATTTGTAAACAAAATTTATATCTTTTAATCTGATTAATAAAAGTTCATTGAATATCATCGTACACATTCCTTGGTGTATTAGTAAATTTTTGTACTAGATTAGCAAATCAGCTTTTACAACCTTTTTGGTTGTATAATAAAGAATCCTTTAATCAAGAAATACATCCAAGCAGTTGTGGCTAGGAAAACCGAAACACTGAACCAGATAATGGACAGGGCTGGTAATGATCCCCCTCCCAATATTTGAAAAGTTGACAGGGAGTTTCACATATATATACCAAGAAGGATAACTCCAAATTCCTTTGTCTATATATATGTGTTGATGGAATTACTTGCCCTTTATTTTGTAAAGAACGTTCAACCACACAAACATATACATGTAAATAAAATAAAGTGGATATGTATCAATATATGACTGGACGCTTAAGTTTAACATTAGGTATTGTTCTTTTTGTATGCTTTTGCATATTTCAGATATTATCAAGGGGTTGGAGTGGAGGATCCACCAACAATTGGGACCCCCCCCCCCCAAAAAAAAAAAAAATGGCAAGCAAACCAATATTTTAAAAAAAAAACCCTTATCTGCCCAAACTCGAAAAGGGTTGTTGTTGTTAGGATCTTCCACTTTTTTATTAATGCAGTAAAGTGGGGCACACTGTACTTTCACCATACTGTAACTAAATCTTGAAAATACAATTTACATTTCATAAGTTGACAAATCGCAAGTAGAGCGGCATATGAATTACACTTAAATGGCATTTGACACGACTTTCGTTTACAATTGTACACATGACAAATTAATTAAAAAAAATGAAATAAAACTATTGACAAAGTATGACATTATGATTCACAATCTACAAATAAAGGTCAACATGTGTACACATGTAAGTTGAAAGACAGAGTTGGAGTTTTGAACCGTTTGGCTTTCGATAGACACTACTCAATGAATAAAGTGTAAAGAGCTGTCCCCCCTTGTAGGTTACCTAATACAATATATGCATATATAAAAACAAGGATCTCACTTGAAAAAAAATATATTTCCGTGTTAAAAGTAACTTACCACCAATGAGTAAACTAGAGATAATTGATTTGTCAAGAAAGAGAGCTAATACATGTGTAGTGAATTGTAGCAAAAGGACTTGGCTCAAGGAGTACATGTACAGGAATACGAGTACATATGTTCACTAATGAAAAGCAGGATTTCTCCCTGTTAAAATAAACTGCGGATGTCTGTGACATAAACATGTAAACAGAGAGGGGCAGATTACATAACATCTATACAATACCAAAAAAAAAAAAAAATAGAAAGTCTTTCATTAGAAACCAGTATCACCCCGAACTTCACTGCAACTCTACAATATTGGAAAGCAGAATACAGACACGAGCAAAGTTAGTCTGGTATTTCATGAAATGAAAACCTAAAACATATATCATCATTGATTTGGTTTGTTGTCTTAAATTTTTCCTTATATATATATATATATATATATATATATATATATATATATATATATATATATATATATATATATATATATATATATATATATATATATATATATATATATATTGATATCTAATGAAAAAAAAAACCAAACAAACTGGGAAGCACCTATTGACAAACCAGTAAGTTTTAGCAAACTGTATGAAAAACAATTGCAAATAAAACTTAACTTCATTCGTAGCTTTGCCATGTGTCCCTGAGTCGTTTCATTTCAAAAACGTTTTATAATCTTATTTATATTGCTTTATCTTTAAATAAAAAAAGGACCGATAAAGCATCCCAGACTTACTTACTAAATACTTACTTAATTGTACGCTGTCTGTTAGAAAACATATTTACTATTTACATTTCATCTAAATATTTTGGTATTTGGTAAATATTCACTATATTTATTATATTTTGATTTGTTCAGTCTTCCGTCAAAAACGAATAAAAACGTGGGGGAAAATTCTATTAAACAATCGTCGAAATTGACAGTACACCTTTTACAGTAAGATAATGTAAACGATCTGTCGGTATAGTGCATAATGTAAAGACTTGTTCTCCTCTCGGGAAATGAATGCGGAAGCTGGCTGTGTGTTTCATTTGACAGTCTATTTACACGTAAACAAGATCAACTATCTGTGAACTACATCTTTAAACTTCCAATTTCTTTAAAAAAGGAAACACATACCTTATAGTAGATGACAGATTAATACAATTATATAGTAAAGATGGTTAAGATTATAATTAGTAATCTCGAATTACAAATCGGAAGTTATTTCACTGAATGACTTATAATTGCGGAAATCGAACATTCATCACCCGGATATTGAAATCAACCCCAACGTCTTTTTAATCGAGAGTGACCTATTGCAATGGCGACAAGTTATATTGTTGTGAAACTGATGATATTTTTAAGGTTTGTGTCTGGATTTAACATTGATGTAGAGCAAGCACTGATTTATACGGGAACCCCCGGTTCGTATTACGGAGCGACTACGGAATTGGTTTCCAATGCTCAGGGAAAATGGTAAGAAAATATTTCATCAGCAGTAAAAACATAGTTCTCCCAAGCAATAAATGTTTCCCTCTATAAAGTAGACAAAATGAGGAAAGACCCGTCATCTGAATTCTTAATCAAATAAATAAATGAATATATACATAATTTTTTATGGAGGTATAATAAAAAAATTTTTGCAATTGTTGAGATATTGAAATCTGTAAAAATAAGGTAGTATTTGTAAGTATATCATCGGACATGAAGCTATTAACATTCACCAAATTTCCATACATGTATACAGCATGTCACACCCTTATATGTACATTTTACATAAATTACAATATACATATCATGTGGGTGTAAGGATAGATTTCTCCGTATAATTCCTTGAATGTTAGGTGATTGTTGCTTTGTACTTAAAGACAAACTTGGCGAAAACATGTCAAACTCTGATGCTAAAAATACTTAGCTTCTTAAGAAGTTAAGGTCACAAAATTAACATACACACCCTCTCTCTCTTTCTCTCTCTCTCTCTCTCTCTCTCTCTCTCTCTCTCTCTCTCTCACAGAGATTTGTATGTTCAATCTACTGAAAAAAACTATTTTCCTTAACATCTGGGTGTATGATAAAGAGATATCTAGCATATCTTATAAAATCTAAGCAATGCTATTAACACAAAAAAATAAAGGTTCCTTATTTACAATTTTTTATCATTAATACGCATTAGTGGTCACATCTGAAAATTGTTTTTTTTTTTAAAATAACTTCTTTAATGTTGATAAACACCATAGCTTCTTACAATAATGTACGTATACAATCTCTTCCTTCGTACTAAGTGGATATAAGCAACGAGAATGGATTGAGGCAATGCAGATAAATTGATAAATTATGTCTATGGATTCGCCACTCGATATTGAGTACTGTATTTTGTACTTGAAACCTTTCGATTGTTTGTTAATGAGCCAGGAGTTTAGAACGCTTTATCACAAGGAACTACACTACCCTCCCCCTTTATCACAAGGAACTACTACCCCCCCCCCCCCGTTTTATCACAAGGAACTACTTTATCTCGTTCATCCTCTATATTCCATAAAAACATGAACGTTTGTCCTTAAGTTAATAGTCTTGCATCAAATGAAAAGGAAACTACTTTAAAATCATCTGCCATCATTTGTTTTAAAAATATTTACATTTGCAGATGTTTTCCCTTACATAACACTATTTATGTAGTGCGTATTTAAACAGGTTCATCACTTGACCACATATTTCATTGTTATTAACTATCGACGTAATTTTCACAGTGATGTCATGAGTGGTCGACGTGTTCAACACACTCATTTTATACCGCTGAAGTTTCAAATAAGAAATCAATTCATGGAATTCCTTTCACGCAAATATTTGTCATAAATCAGTCACAAAATAATATAAATATAAGCAATAATGTCGTTCGGGCTATATGGGATTTGATCACGTGACCAACCGATATTTATATCCCAATAAATGTCTTATGTCTTGCATAAAATATAAATTAAATGTTGAAATAACCTGTCATTTGTTATAAATATTGTTCTAAATTATCTGTCATTGATGTACATTGTAAATTGTTTTTATTTTAAAAATTACACACATTACGTTTTATTATTTCCCAGATAAATTTCATAGAAATAAAGCTTCGTTGCATATTAACTTTAGGATTCTACAAAAAATATCAGCGACACCTAGATTGACATATTTGTATATAAATATGCCATGCTGCAACTGAATTGAATTTCAGTAGTGGTTGAGAACACATCCGTTGATGCTTCCCATCCATTGTCACCTGAAGAATTATTCTCTTGTGCGAATAAATAGTTGTATAGACAGCTCTTTTGTGTAATTTTACATAATTTTCACCATTGTTTTGATTCTTGTCGTTTTACAAAACTACGATTCTGCAGTGATAGAAATACATCTACTTCATTTCGCTATTCCTACATTTTCTGGAAATTAGGGTGGCATTTTTTCTGCAGATGAAGTAACGAAAAGAAAACCCAAAAATATTATTTTGACAACTTTCGTATTTATTACGTTTCAAATTGTCAACCTTTTCTCTCGTGTGAAGCTCCCTACGAAATCCTTTCGAAAATTAAAATGAACAATAACAGTGATCCTCTCATACAGATCCTACAATGTAGCTAGTTGTGGACAGATCGACCCCCCCCCCCCCCATCCCTTCCCCAAGAAATTTTACAATATATTTCACATGAAAAATCTGTCTCTTACCCTACATGCAGATTTGTCTTGCTGGTCTGAAAAATTGAGGTCCATGGACGTCCATCGCAAATTTTCCGACCAGCAAGCTACAGATCTGCAGACCAAATTTCGTTTCGTCCAACCATTCATCTCGAAGTATGTACACATAATACGTGTATTGTAAAAATAATTTTTGAAATTATCATATAACAAACGTCTAGCGGTCCCGAGGTGTAAATATTGGAGGGGTTCATGTTATCAAGCAAATGGATAAGTTATAGATAGATAAGTTATTATGCATTCATTAAGTTACATTATCAAAGAATGTAACTATTTCATGCTTCTCTGTGGGTCCTTGATTGAAAATAACCAATTGTGTTGTATTGTATTAGAGAATCAACAGAAACTTAAAAGAGAATGAATATATAAAAAAAAATGTTCATGAAAGCCTGCACCTTAAATGATGAAGTGTACAAGTCACTGTCTACTTAAATGATGAGCATCTATTTGAAGAAAACTGAGTCATTACTGACTGACTACTGAGTGAGCCCTATAATGTCACAATGTACTTAGTACAGGTTCACTAAAAACTCGTATGAGTAATATAAATTGTAACTCTCAGGACTGAAAAGGAGGGGGACACTTACTAATAATAGGTCCCAGGGGCGTGCCTCAGAAATAGGTACAGATATGTCTTTTTCCTGCTCGGAACAGAATACTCTGAAATATATATTAAGGTTATTTTTTTTACAAATAGTGAAAAACTACATCATACATGTAACATGTAGTAAATATTTTCACCATATTTAGTTAAAAAAAAAAGCCGTTGAATTGAAGGTTCGTGTTAACTTAGATTTGAAAGTTCATACAATTCTTCAATAAAAAAAAATAGCAATACCATGCAAATAAGAATAAGAAAAATACATGTATAAACGTCAGATAATTATGTTATACTTGCTATAATTGTAGTAGTTATAAAATGTAGTGTTATGCACACACAAAAAATACAGATATTAGATGTGTTATTAGGCCAAATAAAAAAATATGTGTGGTTCCGGTTACCCGACCTTCCCTATTTTATACCCCCGACCCTAAACTTTTTTCAGGCAATTTTCATATTTTTCCGGAATTTTCCCAGCTTTCTGTCATCGGCAGTTTTAGTTTCAGCAATGGCCACCTCCATGCAAAACATCGTTTCAACACTTAGTGCAAGTGTTCAGTTAATAGTGTTAGATCTAAAGCAAGCTAGCATAGTGCGGAAGCATTCCTTTTTTCCAGCACCATGTTTTTTTTTGTTTGCTTTGTTTTGTTTTTACTTGCCAAAAATAAATAAATATGCATTCACAGACAGCTGGCCAGGTACTATGCCTTTGGGAGTTAGGGAGAAGATAACATGAGAAAACATCATTTGATTGCATTGATTACGCAAGAAATAGCCCAATGTGTAAAATAGATTAACTTGTAAATTATGAAATAATTTAAATCAAGATCGTTTCTTTTAAACCGAAAGTAAAAAAAAAATTGATAAGAACAAGTGAAAAACAAAACACCTGATTTTACCTGAATAAAGTCAACTCACATACATGTAGCACCGATATACACATGTATATGAGAAATGAGCTTTGAAGTATAAAGTCTTCAATGAGGCCAAAAGTTTTCATTGTAAGAATTTAAAATTTTAACAATATTAAATATATTTCCTCTGACAGCTCTTAGCAATACTCTATGACCGTTTTCTAGTTTATCGTTCAAAATTTATTATTCAATAAAATAAGAATTACGCTGGATAAAAGTCATTAATTTTATTTATAAATATGGATTTAAAAAAAAGGATGTTCATCTCGAACTTTTTTTAACAAAAAGAAATGAATAAGACTATTAGTGTGTTTATTATTTTTGATTTAAAAATATTTGTTTCAAATTCCTAACTAGGGTGTTCATACCAATGTTGACTTGTATATTATCACGCCACATCTAAACTCTAAATGCCACTTGCAAAGCAGTGATAAGTATTATTTAGAAAATCATTTTGTAAAAAAAAAACAAACCAAAAAAAAAAAACAAAAAAAAAAAAAAAAACAAAACAAAACAAAAAACAAAAAAAAAAAAAAAAAAACAAAAACAAAAAATCCCTACCTATCTACCCTAATTTTTTCGGAGGTGTAACCGGAACCACACATATTTTTTTGTTTGGCCTTATAATACTGGTCTGAAAATAGGAAATGTATGATTCAGTATAAAGAAAGCAGCCATGCATAATTATAATCATCATAAATTAGATCAACACAAATTTGCAGACAAGAATGTTAAGCCTTATGGAAGATTTTCTGTGAAACAGTATTATGGATATGATATATAATTTTAAATAAGTTGTCTTGCCTCAGCAGAAAATCTTTGCTAAAAACAGAAAAGAAAAATAAAAATTTAAAAATTTAATTTCAAAAATTAAAAAAAAAACTCCAGTAGGTTCACAGCGAAATACTTTTGGATACCGTATGCTTGTATAAGGATCGTAGGGACGTTGACCGAGGATCTTGCTTGTAGTATGAAGGTCCGGTTCTACTACTGTACAGTATCTACGGTACATTGATGTTGATGAGATTCGATATTTAGGCATTTTTGTAGATCAAATTACCAAAGCAAAAAAAAATTGTTTTACCTCTGAATCCTTAGTTGCATTTGCGAGGGGATGTATTTGCCCCCCCCCCCCCAATTAAAGGTATGATAAATATGCCAATACTTTTATAATGAACTTTTTTCTCTTCTCAGGTTACTGGTTGGTGCGCCGAGACAGAATTACTCCGGGATCATCAAGCCCGGCGCCATCTATCGTTGTGCGGTCGACACCAGTTCAGCGTCCAGAAGCTGCACAATAATGAATATCAGGGCCGCTGGTAGGCTCCAGATTTTTTTCACCCCCCCCCCCCCCATTTTTTTCGTTTGTTTTTATTTTTAGCTCAAATGAGCCAAAGGTTTATATGAACTTATGTGATCGAAGTCTGTCCGTCATCTTTTTGCCTAGTAATTGTGTTAACTTTTCATATTTCTAACTTTTCTCAAAAACATAATCAAAATACAAGTATGTAAGATAAAAAAAAAAAATCTGAAATTATACAATTATACAAATATATAATCATAACAAAAACATATTAATCAAAATATGCAAGATAAAAAAAATTCTGAAATTATACAAATATATACTTGTATTAAAAACAGTCAGGTTTACCTGTAAGTTTGAACAATAAAAATCATTACCAATTTGTTTCTCAATTCATGTTACATAAACCTTGTTATATTTTCAATTTTCAGAGAGTGCCTTTCCTTCTATCGAGTCTGAAGAAAACCAGGGCCTTGGCTTGAACATGCTGGTAACGGACCAGAACCTCGTGGTATAGATCTCAATTTTTATATCTGCATCACAGAAATGTTTTATGTTGTATTAAGCATTTTGCAAAGCATGATAAGTGCCAAAGTATACTTAATCCACAGGCACTTGGGGGCTGGACACCCCCCCCCTTTTTCCATTTTTCAGTTTCTTTTTAAAATCAATCGAAAAAGATATATAAACAGCTTATTTCATTTTCATTATAGAGTACTAACTATTTACTCCCCAGAAAAATACTCAAAGAAAACGATGGATTGATGAAAGGAGATCTGTGACGGTACATATTGTCGTTTTGTACATATTGTCGTCGGCGACAATATGTACCTACCCTGACTGCACATATTGTCGTCCATCGGTACATATTGTCGCCGGCGACAATATGTACCGAGACGGGCCTTATTTTCCTCCTGCATAATGGACGACAAAATGTACAGTCAAGCACCAGCACATATTGTCGTCGGCGACAATATGTACAGTCAAGGTCGGCATATATTGTCGTCGATATGTTGTTTTGAGGAATATTTACTTGAGAAAGGAAAGAGAGTTTGACAAATACACACATACACACGCACGGAGGAGACAGACACCATTACTTGTAACACTGTAAGGAGAAAACTTTTTGGTCAAATAATTGTGTCCAGGATTGATGTACATCACTGTGATATGTCAAGATACCGTAATTCTTGAGATATCTGAAAAATCAGCCTATTCTTTTTTCTTGTAATATGTACTTGGAGATTGAATACATGTATTTTTTTTTGTTCAGTAGTAATGATTATTTGGAAATTATTTTTTGCGTTTATTTTATATACAATCATGTGCCGATATAACTGGTGTTGGGGTTGACATTTTTAGATCAGCTGAACTGGAAGTTCAAGTGAGCTTTTCTGATTACATTTTGTCTGACGGTCCCTCTGTCTGAAAACTTTTCATAATATCAGCTTCTTCTCAAGAGCTTCTGGGTCAATTTTAAGCAAACTTGCCACATAGCGTCCGTGGATAAAGAGGATTCAAGTTTGTTCAAATGAAGGGCCATGCCCTCTTTCGAGGGAAGTAGTTAAGAATTAGTGAACATTTAGTGACATCTTTTGAAAATCTTCTCATGAACCATTGTGTCAGAAAAGTTGAAACTAATGTGCAAGCTTCATTATGAAGTGTAGATAAAGTTTTTTTTTTCATGTGAGGCTGGATGACTATATTGGTTAATTGATGCAATTTAGAGGGGTTTTTTACCGCTGCCCATCATTTGTTCCTTTACCATAGCAAGACCTTTATCAACATTATTGAATTCTTTTCCCTACTTTTTTTCAAATCACGTCCCTTGGGGGAAGGGTGTGGTTACAATAGGTGATCAAAGGTTTTCATAGAATATCTAGAAAAAGAATCTGTCTAATTTTTTTCAAGAGGTACTGGGTCAGAAGAGATGATACTTACTGTAAGTGTACTTAAAAAAGCGGGCTTCGTATTTTAGCGGCTTTGGCGAGGACACCGATGCGCTAATTCATGGATATCGCTAAGAAATCATTTATAAACACAATACACGATACTGACATGTGTAGCGCTAATTCATGATTACGCCAACAACTCCATTCCCAGTGATTGCGCTAAATTTTGAATACGCCAATTTTTATGTACACGTACAGTATGTGAAAGCTTCGTTACATAGCGTAAGTTCAATTTTGAGGTGCTGGCACGAAAATGATCCCTCACTGCTCAAAGACCCTAAGTGCCAAGTACAGGTCTAAATTTGCAGCCCTCCACTGGCAAGTGGTGACGTCTACATACGAATGAAAAATTCTCGAGATGGACATTATAACATCAAACAAACAAACAAAATCAAGTTTTACATAAGAATATATACAGAAAATCTTTAAAATCTTCTCAAAAACCAGACAGATGTAGCACTGGCGCACACACCCCGGCCCGATGGTTTGATATTTTTGTGCTTTGGTTAATTTTGTTTGTTTAACTTGTATATGCTCTCAATTTAGTCCACAGGTAAAATTTTATAATTAAATAATTTACTTAACATATACAATAACACACCTTTACATACAAATGACTTTTTAAATATTTTGCTTGTCAAAAAAATTCTGCACCACCTGTGCCCCCCCCCCCATCCCTTTCCGTTCTGAAATTTCTGGAAGCATTCTCAGGTAGTGAAGGTTCAAGTCAAATCATGACCCCCTGGCCTAGGGTGGGGCCACAATGGGCGATCAAAGTTTTGCATAGGAATATATAAGAAAATTCTTTTAAAAAATATCTTCTCAAGAAAAGCAAAGCAATGATTAATCATATTAATATGGATTGATTGATTCATGTATTACTATTGTTTAACGCCGAGTCGACAATATTTCAGCCCTATATCGGCGATCAAATTAAGTGTATATGACCATTTTTGAAGTTTTCGGTTGCTCTGGCCATATTTACATGGAGCATTGCCGTGCATTGCCTTGCGACATGTTCTGATGGACGAAAATATGTGCAGTGAGGGTTGGTACATATTGTCGCCGGCGACAATATGAACAGGGCGACAAAATGTACCGTCACAACACGCTGCATGAAATAGCATACGAGACACGTCAGAGTGATTAACACAAAAATTATATTCACAAAACTACCAAAAAACAACAAAACAAATCTTTAAGCAACAATTTCTGTGGGGCGACAATATGTACAGTGAGGGTTAGGCACATAATGTCGCCAGCGACAATATGTACATGTTTAACTTTTCAGCAGGCGACAATATGTGCCGATGGACGACAATATGTGCAGTCAGGGTAGGTACATATTGTCGCCGACGACAATATGTACAAAACGACAATATGTACCGTCACAAGATCACTCTTGCGTACTAAAATGCATATGAAGATGCATATGTATATGGAGAGGGCTAAGATAGGCTAAGACTGCTGTCCAATCCCAGTCTGATTAAAACCACCCCCTTTCTTCTTTTGCTCGCCTAACGATTGAAATGAGAAGGGGGTGGTTTTAATCAGACTGGTTCAATCCTATTCACATTTTGTGAATAAAATTATGTAAAAATTAAATTGAAAATTAATCATGCATAATATGGAGAAAATACATGCAAATAAAGGGTTCAGTTATCTTGGCTTAATAAAATATTAAGATTGCTAAATCAACAACAACAGCTAAAACAAACCAAAAGAATTTACAAATTTATCTAAAAACAAACAAACACGAAAATATCTTTCGCATTTTGGCCCACGGTATAGTTTTGATTTAAATGTTTTCACACGAATTTATATAATGGTACATGTATTTACATTGCATTAATTTTAAGATTCAGTGTATTTATGCTGTTTCAATAAGAAGAATAGGCAGTACGTATAGTGAAATAAGTACTAAAAATACTACACGTTCAAATATATGTGTAAATGAGTATACAGACTTGTTACCTGGGTGGGAGCTGCCATATAGGAAATAATTTGTTTTAGACACATATCAGGCAATAAATATCATTGTACAGTCCTTAAAAACAAAATAGAGCTCTTTGCAGAACACCTAAATGATTTCACTGTTCGTGACGTGCTGACGCTATATATATCCATGTCGATAAGTTTAAATACTACGTCACACTGTTACCACATCAAAGAAAGTAACCGACGTCACGCCTCTCCCACGCTAAAGTCGGTGAACTGCAATATACAGCGTTATCTGGCAATGTCTTACAACTACAACGATACTCAAATATAGAATATAAAAGGAATTCAGAATGTTATGTAATAAATACCGTCAAATTTGTGTGTAAGATAAGATTTTTTTTTCTTTTTTATTCTTTGAAAAAATTATCTCTAATATATATTAATGGACCTTTGAAGGGCTTTAGCCCAAACTACCTTACATACACGTGTGTATGCATGAAATAACAAACTTTTCTGCCGATCGAAAAGGGAAATTGTCAACATAAATGTCATGATAATATTAAGAACATGCCCATATCTTTGCTTATATTTCTGTGTATTCAAACGCATATCTATTTTTGTAAATTTTTTTAGAAATATTTTTTTTCACAGGAATTTAGGATTGTGGTTTGTATGGAATTTTAACCATACATTTTGATGTTGTTTTTTTTTTTAACAGGCGTGTTCACCTATGTGGAAGGAGGCAGTGACGGCCGATATATACTTTGCCTACGGCAAATGCAGCGACATACCCCTGAACAATCTGAACACGAACAATAACAAGTTATTTCAAGTGCCGAGTAACCTCCGGATTCTGAACGGTCGGATACATTATGTTGCGGCCGAGTTCGGTTTCAGCAGCAGTAGGCGGACAGGGGTAAGGAGAGGAGCGGATCTAATTAAAAAGCGTTACCAGATAGGATGAGTTAGAGTATATAGTTACAACAATAAAGCATGTTTTTTTTTTTCAAATTTGAAAAAAGCGAAATATGTAGAAGTTTGCTCATGAATTATAGACAAAATAAGTTCAATATAAGAAGAACTCATGCATGAATATTACATGTATATCAGTATAGATAATATGATATAAATATTTGAAGTCATATGTAATTAAATGTCATCTCAGCATATAGATATCTATTTTAATTCTAGTCTATCTGGGCGTGATAAACATAAGTGTACTTCATTTCAATCTATTTAAAAGTAGAACCTTTGATTTGCTCCCGTAGATTTCTATCGCTACCTTTGTGTATATCGATCTACGGGAGCGGATAAAATGAGCTAATTCTGATTATAGATTGCACTTCGTATGTCTATTTTGTGTCAAATGTCTATTTTCTTACAGTTTAGCAACAATGGGATCGTTCTGGGAACCCCTGTCGTATATGATTCCACTGGTGGGTTGTTATTCTTTTGATTTGAAAGATTTTATTGATGAAAGCTCTCTCAACTCACAGGTGCTTGTGGACAGGACCCCCCCCCCCCCCCTCGAATATACACCCTGGGTTCATGGATATTTTTATTCGTATTTTTCCAAAAATTAATCTTCTAGTACACATTTACAATGTATTCCATATAAAAAATCCAAAATAAAACAAAAAATAATAAAGTAGAATTAACGTTTAATAAAAAATCACACCCGCGGTATTATAAAATAGATTTCTCTATTTTATAATACCGCGGACCGTGTGATTTTTTTTACTAAAACGTTAATTCTACGTTAACTTTTTTTTTTTTTTTTTTGGATTTTTCATATGGAATACATTGTAAATGTGTACAAGATTGATTTATCGAAAAATACGAATAAAAATATCCTTGGACCCAGGGTGTATATTGGGGGGGGGGGGGGTCCTGTCCACAAACTCCTGTGTCTCAACTTTGTGAATCCTTTCTCTGTAATGCATATAATGACTAGAATGATTAACAAAACTAAAAGAAATGTATTGATTATTTTTTTGAGTTATTCATGTTAAGTATAAAAGATATTTCAAAGACATATTATGAGTGCACAATCTACCGAAGTCTCGAATGTAATAATTATATACATTGCTTATTTATTTTTCTTTTTTACACCTTATCTTATTTTTTCGGTACAATAATTTAATTTTTAGAATTTTTTTCTTGAAGACATTGCATTGGTGTTACCAAACCGTATTCATTTATATGATCATAGAATGTTAAAAAGAAAAAAAAAGAAACTAAATCAAGAGTGTTTAACATCCATAAATTAATGAAAAGTGAAAAGATCAGTATTCAATTTAAGGTAGTGCGATCCTTTTGTTCACGTAAATATTATTTCCTGTTTACGATAACAGTTTTTTTTTTTTATAGACAGTGGATATCAAAATAATATTCAAGCAAATTCTATATACTATACTGGGAAAGTTTTGAGACATATCTTCGTTGCAAATGAAAATTTTTCGAAATTAATACAGGGAAAGTTATCAATCTAATAGGTATCTCTTTAGCAGACTGAGGGTCAATATTCATTATTTGTGCATGTAAATTGGTATTGAGGATGTAAAAATAGAAGCCCAAGTTTTCTTTTAATAGCCAAATTTTTTATGACCCTGCACACAAAAATACTGTGCACACACAATTTGTCAGTGTATTACATGTACTTTTAATTTGTTTACTTTTTTTAAACAGGTGGATTCGTTTTTTACCAAGAAGGCGCTGTTTCCAATTTCTGGGAACGATTTAACATAATGGAGAACGGAGCCATAGACAATCTGCGCTCAATGTTCAGAGCTGGTGCATATTTAGGTAAAGAATAAAACGCGTATTTTGAACCAAATGCCGTATTTTATTTTTATCAGTATCATTTGTTATTAGTCCAAGGGAAATAACTCTTTCTGGCACCATGTGCAAAAAAAAAAAAAAAAAAAAAAAAAAAAAGAGTAAAAATATGGCGAATTAATGAAAGATGGATTTCTTATCTCATTCTCCATGCACACTTATCTGTCATCTTCTTAGAACAGCGGTTATATGAAAGGATGACTGCACTTAAGGACATGCAAAATTTGCGACAACATAAACTTTCAAAACAAGCATTTCTCTTTTCATTGCAAGAATGGTCAACATCCAATCTACAACTTTATGTAATTACGTTTAGTAAAAGTGTGTATTTACGAAGTTCGAATCTGTTTTCAAAGGCAGGGGTCATCACAATTTCTTGAATCTCCGTCCGATAATGAGGACGCCCACTTTTTTACTGACTTTATACATAGTCAGCGCATGTTTGTCTATTGTTCTACGTTTAACAGTAGTTGTATATTTGCATAAATAATAATGTGTCAAAAGGAGATTAATAGACAAACATGCGTTCATGGTTAAACAGAGAAAAAACTGCCTCTTCTTACATTGGCTCTCTGTGTTGTAATCAAGGATTGTGACATGTTGAATATTATAATTCACCACGTGATTTCTTACCCTAAGTAACTTTGTGAATACTAAATTCCGTCACGTGACTTGTAAGGTAGCATGTTTTGTGCTAACTAGGACATTGTGTTCGAACACGTTAAGTCATCTGGCATTGACATAAAATCTGCTTTAATTACATTGACGTGCTCATATTGTTAATTTCGTTTTGAAACCATTGTCAGAAGTGTATTTGTGCCATACAGAATGGAGAGGGAGACTGGAAAGACTGATCACGTTCTTTTTTCCAAACATGTCATTGTTATTTATCAAGTCTAATTTTAGAGCCATTCTTACAATGTTAGCTCCATCTCTCATGCATATGTAATGTTCAGTCAAGGGCAGATAAGTGTAAATTCACTATATTTGGAAAGCAGTAAGGACAAAAAACATTGAATCATTTTATTGTATCACAGTCTAAAATCATTTTAAGGTTTAAATTTGGTTCCAAATTGACAGGATTCTTTTGTTTAAACTTTATTTCATTCAAATTATTCATCATATGTACACAATAAATAATACACAAGGATTCGGAAACAAGTTGTTACAACTTATATTAAACCGTTTCCTTAAATTAACTTTCAACTATAAAAAAGAACATTTTTCCTTGTTGAATGACAGGTATAATAGGAACAATAACTGAAAAAACAAAAATGAAATGAAAGCAAAAAATTAATAGAAATGAAAAAAAATATAGAGAGAGATATTATAACATGAATTAACATTAAAAGTAACTGAGGAATAAACAGTCATACAGTGTGTGTACAATGCAAAATGAACAATATCAACAATACGGCCACAAGTAAGATTCAAGTTACAAAAACCTTTTAGTAGCAGAAATAAATTGATGTACATGTTTAAAAATGTTTGTATTATAGGAATAATTTCTAGCTGGATCTCCAAATAAGAGAATGTTTAAAGTGACTGGTTCTTATAAGTCAATGAATTTTTTCCTTGCGTCAGTGTATAGAGGACATTCCAATAAAAAGTGTGTTGTTGTTTCAATTTTTCCACAAGCACAATTAGGATTATCTATTATATGTTTTGCAAATAAATGCGAATTAAGTGTACTACAATTGAGTCTAATTCGTGTTTGTAAGATCTGTTCTGTGCGCTTACCAAATAGAAAGTGTCTTGGGGTTTTGTAACAGTTTGTATTAAGCACGCGTTTTAAATTAGATACTGAAGGATTTTCTTGGACATTTATCGGAAGATCATTCCAAAGCTTTGTAGTGGACGGTAGAAAAGATTTTGCATAGTGGTTTGTATTAAACTTTCGTTGAGTAATGCAGTGAGATCTTCTTGTAGGATAATGCTGTGTTTCATTGATTCTTAAAGGGATTAAAGAAGATAAATAATCTGGAGCACTTCTGTGGACCATGGTGTGAAATTTGATTATTTTGTGTTTTTGTCTTCGATTGTGCAAAGTATCCCAACCAACTTCTCGATAAAGATCATTTAAACTTACGAGTTTTGTCGCACCTGAGACTATGCGAGCTGCCTCAATATTAATTTTTTCGAGTTTATCAGCTAAATCGTTTGGGATATTGTCCCAAACTACATCTGCGTACTCAATAACTGGCCTTACAAATGAAAAGTATAGTTTTTCAAAGGATTTTCTGTCTAATAAAAATCTGAGTCGTCTTAGAATGTGTAACCTAGACGACGCTGAAAAATGTAATCATAAGTGTTTATGATGTGACACTTCACTTATCTTTTGTCCGTTCAAATACAGGTCTGGATGTGGAGTTCGGTTACGTTTAGTACTAATTGTTAAGCTTTCAGTTTTCTGAGGATTAAATGTAACTAACCATTGATTAGACCATTTGTGGATTTTGTCGAGGTCACTATTTAAAGTCGTACTTGCGATAGCCGGATTTTCGACAATAATGTATAAGGTGGTGTCATCCGCAAATAATTTGATAATGGATCTTATGTCAAACACTATATCATTTATATATACAAGAAATAACAGTGGACCCAATATTGAGCCCTGGGGCACGCCAGCCTCAATATTGCACCAACCCGATACTGATGAGATTATTACAACTCTTTGTTTACGACGTTGAAGGTAATTTTCGAACCAATGGTAAAGTTTCCCTCCTATCCCAGCTTGTCGAAGTTTATAAAGCAAACCCTTATGCCAAACCCTGTCAAACGCTTTGCTTATATCACAAAACACAGCACGCACCTCCTTCCCCGAGTCTAAGGCTCTACCAATATCGTTAGATATGTCTAATAATTGATTAACTGTTGAGTCACCGGAGATAAAACCTGACTGATTATTACAAAAGAATTTTGTTTCTACAAAGTAACTATAAATATGGTTGTGAACGCATCTTTCCATGACCTTCCCAGTAATACACAATAATATTTACATTTGCTGTGTTTTTCTACTAAGCCAACTGTAAAATTGATTTGAAAGTCATTTTTGTGTATACTCACGCGTAGAAATATACACGGTGAAACTCGCGCTAAAGTGACGTCACAATGAGGCTACAGAGACGTTAATAAAAATGTAACGATATAGGGCAGCAAGAAATTCAAATACTGAGTATATTATTGGTGCTTTTAAACTCGTAAAATGTAAATATAAGGAATGTTTTTAAGTTTAGTGTGAATTATTGGTGTGTAAATTACACAGACTTGCACGTAGGCATATTTTTCATGAAGCGCTAGCGCGCTTCATGAAATACGCCTACGTGACAAGTCTGTGTGATTTACACACCAATAACTCACACAAAACTTAAAAACATTCCTTAAATGAGATTGGTCTATAATTGTTAATATCATTACGTTTACCTTTTTTGTGAACAGGCGTGACGTTTGCTTGTTTCCATTCCGTAGGAAACAGTGAATTTTGAAGTGATTTGTTGAACAATTTGCATAATGGAAAACTTAAAATTGTCGCAGCTTCCTTAAGAAGTCGCGGATTTATGAGGTCTGGCCCAGTTCAAAAGGATTCTTTCATAAACATACAAAAGTGAAATAAGGTTTAGATATAAAAGCAACAGAAGCTACCGAAAAAGACCCCAAAACAGGCGTTAAGTGCAGTCATCTTTAAGGACTTCCGTTTCGGTGTATATTTTTTCCCGCGTATACTGAATTAAATATACTTTCATTCAAACCAAAACTTCGCAGGAAAAGGAAAACCAATTTTCCGGTATTAGGCTTGGTCCTTGGTTGTGATATTCTTAAAATATTCTTAAAATTATGCTTCATCTGACAAATTCACACCATAAAATATAATAACATGTGCAGAGATTAACGTAGTGATTTTGATTCATGTTTCACAACAACAAGAACAAAACAACTTGACTTGGGAAAAATAAATTTATTCATTGTTTTTTGTCTTTGTAAAATAAGATTTTCATTTAAATATTTTATTCTTTCCAATCTTCATACTTCTTTGGTGATTTTATTCTTATATTATTTAAAAAAGGCTAAAGACTTTTAAACACTAAACACAAAGACAAAATAATTTATAAGTAAATATTAAATTCTTTTTAATGTAATGTGTATATAAATTAACTTGCCGAGCGATACATTGTTTTATTGCTAAGTGTTAAGGACTATATATAATATCTCCCTTTGATCACAGGTTACTCTATTGGGGCCGGAATATTTGGAAGCAGCGCCAGCCCATCAGCCCCTCAAGTAGCCCTGGGTGCCCCAGGATTTGCCAACAACGAGGGAACTGTAGGGGCTGTAAGTTTATGCATCATAAATGCCAAATTCTTAGAGCTTGTGATTATTGCATATTGAACAAATTCTAGTGGTACCATCTCGTACGAAATTTTGAGGCGGAATATGCACAACTTAGATATACGGCTAAGGCACGAAATGCTTACGGGTTTTCAAAAGCCGTCCGGGTTCTACCTACTCAAGACACCCACAGAGAGTCTGAGTCTGAAAGTGAGGTATTCTGTAACACAAAATCCCTTGTGTAGTCACGGAATCCGGGTCCTGAAAGACGAATGATGTTGAATAATTAAGGGGCAGGTTATTTAGATTACAGTGCTCTTTACAGAGCATGCTCATTCATAAATTCCTTTAATCAAATTAAATTGGAGGAATTCATGATCATAAGCTAGCTTGTGTATCTTCTACTATAATTAAGTATACTAAAAGATGTCGAATGGAATAGTACTTATGCCACACTATGATGATTTTGTTACTTTTGAAACCGATGCAGTTAGTCTTATATAGAAGCCATTTAATTGATATATCTTTATGCCTGGACTTCATGCAATGTTGACAATGAAATAGTCTTTGTCAATTAATGACTTTAGTTATAAGTTTGGCCTTATAACTCAACAGTCCCATTTTATTTTTTGTGTTATGACCGTGATAAAGAAATTTATGATTTAATTAAATTCTTTCGCAGATTGAGCAAACTTAGGTAAAATTACAATTGAATTGTGTAAAAAATCATTTAATTCTTTTTTTAAACTAGAAACGAATATGAATTATATATAATATTGTATTCATTGTAGAATATATTAGCTGAAAATGAATAGGGCGTATTCATATATAACTTTTAAATTCTAAGACTAATTATGATAATAATGTAAAGCAAGGGTTGTAAAGTTTGGTTTCTGAATCTCTATTTTGGCATCCTCTGAAACATCAGGAGTTTCTCTAAAGATGTCCGGACCTAGATATAGGTGAATGCACAGATCACAAAAAAAAGGGGGGGGGGTATAATGTAGACACTTTCTTCACTCAAACTTCTTCAGATACATGACTCTCCTTTCCATTTTAAGATGGGTCCATGTTTCCCTGGGAAGGGGGGGGGGGGTCCAAGGTTATTTTTTCGTTATTTTTTTACATAGAAATTCAATAACTTTAGGATTCAGACTCCCCTCCTCCTTATAGATCCGCGTATGACTTTGTACATCATTCCTTTCCGAATGAGTATAACAAAAAAATACTATAAAAATTTCAGAAATCCACCGACAAAAAGCAAACAGTTTCCCGAGATCTGTGAGAAAAATTATACTATATGTAATCCAGAAACATCTCTAATTGCAGATAATTTAAGAAGATACATATCCTTCAGATGGGATTTAAAAAAAAAATTATGTGCAAAATGCACTCAAGGGTTCTTGCTTTTTATTCGATTTATCATCTAAACTTTTTAAAAGTTTAGCAGTCATTTTTGACCAACATTCAGATGCCAAAATAATTTTAGCAAAGCGATAAATAAGTCTGCAATGTATTTTCTTAGATGGGGATTTTCGAGAGAGATGGAAGTAATCTTCGCATGAGGAAGTTATTAAATGGAAAAACGGTAGGTAAATACCAGAGAACATGACGATAACACTGGAGAGATAATTTAAAGATGTTTTTTAAATGGAAATTAATATTTTCATTGTCGCATATTGAATACTTATGATAGTGTTTATAAAGAAGAAATAATTCATCAAATTTGAAGAATGTCAAAGATTGGAAAAAAATCAGTGCGCACAGTATATATATATATATATATATATATATATATATATATATATATATATATATATATATATATATATATATATATATATATATATATATATACACAAGCACCTCATAAGACAATATATATAGCAATTGCTGTGTATAGGTCGGTAGTGGATTCGGACAGTCAATGGTGGTAGCGGACTTCAACGGCGATAACAGGGATGACATCGCTGTGGGGTCACCAATGGAGGGAGAGGATGGCATGAACAACGTGGATGTCGGGGCTGTGTATGTTTACTATGGAACCGGAAGTTCCTCAGTAAGAGTGTTTGCTTTACCCTAACAGAAAATACTATAGTTAACTAAGGTTTACTATAGATAGTTAACTATAGTGATGACTTTTACAATCAACTATAGTAATAACTTTGATACTTTGATTTACAATAGTGTTAACTGGCTTCGATGCAGTAAATAATATTTTTTTTTTAAATTCATTTCAGACATACATTGACAACGAACAGCGCCTGCGTGGATCTGGGGCGGTGTCAGCACGATTCGGCTACAGTGTTGCGAATCCGGGGGACTTGAACAAAGACGGCTTTAATGGTAACTTCACTGATATTAATGTGACCACCATTATATATTTTTGATCAGAGGAAGCGAACCCGACTATTGTGTCGAGTTTTAATCAAACTGTTGCAACAACAATTGAAATAACGACCACTATTGAAATAATTATTTCAAAAGTGGTCGTTATTTCAATAGTGGTTGCAATAGGGCTAGCTAAGCATGTTGTAACCATGAAGACTTTATTACTAAGAATTAGGTCAGTCGTTTTTCCTGTAACGTATACTGGTATATGGTGTAACGTGTTCCAGTACACTGTGTAATGTTTACCATTACACTGTGTAATGTATATCTGTATGTTGTGTAGTATATACATGTACGGTACATTGTAAAATGTATACCGGCAGTACATTGTGCTATGCATACAGGTATACATTATGAAATGTAGACTAGTACATTGTGTAATGTATCCCGGAACATTGTGTAATGTATGCTGGTTCAATGTATAATGTATATCTCTATATTATACCAGTATTATGTATACCGGTACCTTGTAATTATAATTTGGTCAAGGCGTTTACCTTGTGCTAGGAGAGATACTATTAGTTCAACAATTGATTATATAACTTTCCTTAATATTTTGAATTCAACAATTATTTGTCTCATTTTCTGTCCTGATTTGCTTGAATCGCTTACCATAATCTGTTAATTAATTGCCACATTGACCAAAATAATGTAACGTGTACCCCTGCGTAGGGTTCTCAGGGGATGAATTTTTCTCTTACTCTACCTGTGTTTATGATCTAATAATTTGACTATGTACAGTATAATAATTTTTCTTTAAACCTATCTGAGTTTTTCTATTATATTTAATCAAAGAATATATAATGTGGGATGAATTCTTATGACTTGGTAACTGTTAGACTTAGCACCGTGTACCTTGCCCCAGGTTCCTATTGATAGCGGATACTAGGAGTTTCGTTCTTATTCAGATCTACAGCCCCCAGTATCTCGCCTCAGTTCCCCGAGATTCTTGTCACTGGTGCAAACCTATTTCTTTATTTACCCTTTCTCTTATCCGTTATTCTTACCCAAATTTCTCCTGCTTCCACTTAACTGCAGCTCTGCATTCCCCAAAAGACCATGAATCTCTCAATGCAGTCTTATATATACCCTTTGGACTAGTCTACTTTAAGCTTAAGGGAGGACAGGTTATTCCATTCTAACCTTACATCTGGGTCTTCTATGCGTTTTGAGTTTCCAATAACCATTACTCACCAACGCCTCTGATTTCATGCGTCCCGCATGTTTTCTTTTTAGATATTTATATGTTTTATTTTTTTTTTTTTAATTTATTTATTTATCAAAGGTAAAAATAACACCTGGTTACAAAAATGAAAAAAAAAATACAAACACATAGTCAGTTTGATTTGATGTCCATGAGGAAGTCTAATCAGACCAAATGTCCTCTTCAAATTTTTCAATGGTTTTCCATTTTCTTGATATTTTCTGATCACTCGTATGATTTTCTTATGTCTTCTCTGGTTTACTTCTTCAACATGAATGTTGGCCTGTGTAGCTACTTCCACTGTCTCAACTTGTTTCTTGCAACAGGAGCAATGCAGATTCTCCACAGATGCCTCCTGGTCTGGTCTACTACTAGTTGCTTCGTCTTCATTCTTCGCATCCTTGTCTTTTACTATTTCTTCCTCAACTACTTGGTTCACTCTGTCTGTTGTTTTTCTTTTTATACCTGGCAAACGCGCGACAGTTCTTTTTCTCTGAGTTCTACCTAACTCAATGTTGGTTTCTTCAAAAATTAGTTCTCCTGGATCTTCTAGCCAATCCTCTTGTATAAGTGATTCCACTGCCGAATCCTGAATCTGCCTCTTTTCTTGTAATTCTGAGATCTCTTGTTCCTTAAGCAACGTGTTTCACATGCATGGTTAAGATAATTTTCTTACTAAAAGATTGATCACATAATTCGCATTCATATTTTCTTCGATTATTATCAGCCATTCCATATGCTAGCAAGTGATCTCTCCATTCCTCTTCAGAAGGAAGGCGAAGCAAGCAAATAGAGCATAAAAACCCAGGCTTCCTGGGAGTCACTTTGGTCAATGGCATCTCTTTTCTTTCTTCCCTTTTTTTTTCTGAAAATAAATGATAATTCTTAAAACACTGTACTGAAAGTTAAATTGTATAATCAAACTCATAATCAGTGTGCCATTTAGGCCTTGTGCTTTGTCTACGATTGGCGTATGACAATTCTAATTCATTCAGTTCTGAATTACCAAGCACATCTAGTTCAGGTTCATCATTCTGAATTTCATCAGTCGGACTTTCATCTTGCACTACTTGGTGATCATCGTCAGACTGCGGTATTTCATTACCTAGGACCTGAGTCCCATAATGTCTTAACCTGTCAATATGTACAATGAGAGTCTTGGTCCCGTTTTCTTTTTTTAATTTTGAATGTAACATCAGTATGCTTTTCAACGATAATGTAAGGGCCATACCAAAAACTCATCAATTTAGGAGACTTCCCTACATTACTTTGTGGGAAAAACACTAACACTTTATCATCAACCTCAAAACTCTTACTGATAATATTTTGATCGTGATACTTCTTCTTAGAATAGACTGCTTGCTAATCTGACGGGTATACTTATATGCCTCTTCAAGTGTTTCCCGAAGTTTCCATACATAATCATGTACTTTGCTTGGCTTCATACTATTCGGTAATTCATACATGATATCTAGCGGGGTAGCTACCTCGCGTCCTAAAAAAAAGCATATTCGGAGTATAGCCTGTGCTTTCATGCACAGAGGAACGGTAGGCCATAAGCACATACGGAAGGTTTCTATCCCAATCTTGTTGGTGGTCAGACACATAGGCACTCAGCATTGTTGCTAAAGTTTTATTAAATCTTTCCACCATTCCATCTGACTTTGGATGGAAAGCAGTAGTTCGAGTTTTTCTTATACCCAACATTTCACACATGTCTTTGAACAGCTTGCTTTCGTACTGTCTGCCCTGGTCACTGTGTATTATTTCTGGGATACCAAGCTTAGTAACAAACTATTCTACTATGACTTCAGCAACTGTCTGTGCTTCTATTTTTCAGAGGAAAGGCCTCTGTCCACTTAAAAAAAGTAAAGTAGTCAGATATGACTGAAATATACTTGTGACCTTTCTCGGTTTCGGGTAGTGGCCCCATAATATCTGTGGCTACTCGTTCGAAGGGAAACCCAGTTTGATCTAACTGCATGTATGATTTTCCAGCAGAACGAGATTTTCGTTTTCTGCATTGTGGACATCCAGTCACATAGCTACGGACATCATTCTGCAATCCAACCCAATAGAATTTTTCTTGTATTCTGGCCAAGGTCTTTGTTACCCCAAGATGACCCGCAGTTCGAGCATCATGACACTGTCTTAAAATCTCCTTTCTTTCAGACAAGGGGACCAAAATTTGGTGAAACTCTTTTCTATCAACTACCGGTATCCATTTACTACGCAGTACGTATTATTGATCTCTAATGTATTCCATTGTGACCATAGCTACTTTACAACATTACTTTCAGCCTTTATTTCTGCAAACTCTGGCCGCTTCTGAGATGACACCAAACTCTTTATTTTTGCTATGTCTGAATCTTGCTCTTGGAGTTCTTCAATCGTAAGTCCGTCTCCAGCCAATGTTTTCTCAACTGCCTGTACGGTTTCTGTTTTAGGATCATCATCCTGATCATTTCCCTTGTATCCACACTGACGACAGGGGTATCGACTGAGACTGTCTGCATTCCCATGCTTTGGACCCGGTCTGTGTCGTATTTCTAGATCATAAGTACCTAGAAATTCAATCCAACTGGCCACCTGTCCTTAGGGGTCTTTAAAATTCATGAGTCATTTCAATGCACTATGGTTAGTGTACACAATTGTCTTATGGCCATACAAGTAGTGTCGAAAGTGTTTACAGGCAAATCCTACCGCCAACAGCTCCTTTCTAGATATACAGTATTTCCGCTCACTTTTTGATAGAGTCCTACTAGCATAAAATATTACTCTAACTTCACTATCTATTTCCTGAGAAAGGACTGCACCGAGACCCACTTGACTTGCGTCTGTATCTAAAATAAAAGGCAATGAGACGTCAGGATGTGCAAGAATGGGAGCAGTGCCTAAATGGTGCTTAAGCTTTTCGAAAGCCTCCTGACACTCCAATGTTCAACTGAAAACTCGGCCTTTCTCAGTCAACCTAAATAATGGTTTAGCTAGTGAGGAGAAACCTGCAGTGAATCTCCTGTAATAATTGCAAAGACCCACAAACGAACGCACTTCGCTTGCATCTATGGGAACAGGCCAGTCTTTTACCACTGCTATTTTCTGAGGGTCGGTATGAACGCCATGTCCTGAAACACGATATCCCAAAAACAAAACCTCTTTCTTGAACAAGGTACATTTAGAAGGTTTCAACTTTAGTTCTGCCTGGTGTAATTTCTCGAACACTTGCTCCAGATTTTGAAGTGTCTCATCAAAAGTGCTTCCAAAGACAATAATATCATCTATATACACTAAACATATCTTAAAATTTTTCCCAGCAAGAACCGTCTCCATCAGTCTCTCAAAAGTTGCTGGACTGTTACAAAGTCCAAAGGGCATTACTGAAAATTGAAATAGGCCATTTCTTGTGACAAAAGCTGTCTTTTGTTTATCAGCCTCATCCATCTCCACTTGCCAATACCCCGAATGAAGGTCTAAGGTGCAAAACCAGATAGCTCCTTGTAGACGATCAAGCGAGTCATCGATTCGTGGCAAAGGATAGGCATCTTTCACAGTCTTACTATTGAGAAATCTATAGTCTACACAGAATCTCTTGGTACCATCTTTCTTTTCCACTAGAACCACTCCGGCAGCCCAAGGACTGGAAGAAGGTTCGACAATGCCTTTTCTGATAATATTTTCTACTTCCTTGTCAACAAATTCTGCCGCATGATGTGGCAATCTCCTAGGAGGCTGCAGCTTGGTTGGTCTGGCACCTTCTGTATTGATCTTATGCTTTATTAACAAGGTTCTACCAAAATCATCTTTGGCATTAGAGAATAGGTGCAGAAACTTTATTAAAGATGTTTTAATTTTGGATGCCTTTTCTGCTGTGAGGCCCTTACTTGTTTCTGTGTACAACTCATTTAAATGATCTGGGATGTTTTCTATCTTTTCATTTAGCGTTACTGTGCTAACCATATTTTCATCCTCAGATTTAATTACGTCCACTGGCGAAGTCACCCCGACAACTGTTTTTTTGTAAATTATTTGAATCTGTTCTGATATATTCATTAAACGCACTGTGACATTTTTAGCTGGATCAACCAAGGTTCTAGCTATTAGCGCTTTACCGCCGGTATCAAACTTTTTGATAGGCTCTATAAGTAGAGGTCCTTGTACTTTTATTCCTGCAGATGATAACAACTGTCCAGACAAATCATCTCACTTCTAGGAGGAATTGTTATATTTTCCTCCAGACTAACACAAAAGCAACCTATTTTCCCCTGTAAATGCAGATCATGTTCAACGCCAGATGCAAACATTTTAGTACGAGCTATATCCACTAAACATTGACTTGAGCGAAGGAAATCCAAACCTAGAATTCCATCTGCTTTAATGTTTGCCACGACAGCTTGGCAGTCAAACTCGTGGTCTCCTAACTTAATTAAAAATTTACTTTTAATGGAGTTTCATCAGCCGCTACTATGTTCTGCGATACCGTTTCCAGGGGAATATTAACTGACTTTACCATTTCATCATACATTCTTTCAGCATAAATAGTAAGTGTTGCCCCAGTATCAACCAGTGGATTACAAAGTACGAGGCTTACATGAGCTTTTATGAAAAGACCTGATTCTAGACATGTTTTTGCATGTTTAACAGTAGCTGTACTAGACTTGATTGTATCTCTTTTCCCCTGTGGTGACCTTTCCACATTTGCATTGTTCTTCGCCCTGGCTCTGCTTCCTGGCACTGGTACCTGGACTGGGTTAGATTTGTTTCTCAAAAAGCAATCTTTGATTTTATGTCCACGTTTCCCATAATGATGGCATTTGTACGGAAAAGCAGGTGATTGTGGTTCAGTATTTTCGGATTGTTTATTGATTTCCTCTTTCGAAAGGTTTTCAATTTTGTTTTCTAGTTCTCTTAAAGATATGTGTAACTCATCCCTAAGCTTCTTAAATTCTTCTCCTACACTGCCATCATCATGATTCACATTTTTATTTTCTTGATCCCTTGTGGCATTCCTGGCAAACCCAACGTCATGTCTTCGTTGCCTTTCTGCTCTGCAGAATGCTTCAATTTCGACTGCTATTCGCACCGCATCATTAAGTGACTTTGGCGAGATTGTTGAATACGGAGTCTCATGTCAAAGTCTGTTAGTGCATCGACAAACTGGTCTTTGGCAATCATTTCTGTTACTTCACGGGGAGCAGTTGGGTAGGCTAAGTAAGTTAATCGGCGAATACTTTCACCTAACTCTGGCAAAGTTTCTGTGGGTTTCTGTCTTTTCTCCTTCAGCATTGCTCTATACAACTCAGTTTGGTTTGCCGGTGCGAACCTGGCCTCTAAGGCATCGCATAAATCCTCATATGTACAGGCTGTACCTGGGCTCATATTTCCTAGCACAGCTTGAGCCTTCCTCTTATCGAAGCTGCCAAGTACAAACTTTTCTGTCGAGCGCTCCACATATTGATATCACAACAGGCCTCAAAGTGTGCCTTGTAGTCAATTCAAGATCCTACTCCATCATATGTCGCTGGTTTCATAACTGTTTTACCCATAGTATATTCCGTGCTTTTATTTGTTGCACTCTCTATACTGGGTTTTGGCTGTTGAACAGAAAATGAGCCAGTACCCGCATTTCGACTGTCTGACCAAGTCACATTTGTCGTTGTTGACGGAGCAGCATATCCCCTAGTATTCCAAGACAATCCTGTTGTTGGAATCAATCTAGGAAGAGTTGTTTGCTTAACTTGTCCTGATACATCATACTTGTTTGGTTTCCCAGAAGTAAATGTTCCTCTACCTTCATTTTCTTCTTCCTCATACAATGTATAACTTGGCTTAGGGGACATCAAGTACCTATAGTCCTCTTTGCCACCTGTTGCACCTTTTCCCTGTCCAAAGTGTTCGTGTATTTAGATGTTAATTCATCTAAACTAGATTCAAATGGCCTGTATCTAATATCTACTCCCGAATCCGGTATCCTTGCTGGATTTGTAGATGTCTTTGGTGTAGACTTCATTCTGTCTAGAGATTCCCTTAGTTTCTCTCGCATGGCGTCAATAACACTTAGGTCGGCCAAAAGATCCGCTTCTTTATCAGACATCTTACTTTTCTCTAATGGACCTACGGATTCCTACTTCTATTATTAATGAAAAGTACACTGAACCCAGTATATAAAAACCTTGTCACACTACTTGGCGCTCTGCCCCAGTAACACTGGACCTGGTAAGCAGTACTTGTTAACAGGGCACTTGGCTCTCTGCACCTGGTTATACTGGACGGTAAAATGTACTTGGTAAAATGTCCTTGGTAACACCGTACCTGGCTCTGTGTACCTGGTACCACTGAACCTCGTAAATAGCACTTGGTAAACTGGACCTGGTACCTAGTAATTTTATCTTATTAACTTCTATCCCCTGACCGGCTGCCACCAAAATGTACTGTGTACTCCTGCGTAGGGTTCTCAGGGGATGAATTTTTCTCTTACTCTACCTGAGTTTATGATCTAATAATTTGACTATGTACAGTATAGTAATTTTTCTTTAAACCTATCTGAGTTTTTCTATTATATTTAATTAAAGAATATATAATGTGGGATGAATTCTTATGACTTGGTAACTGTTAGACTTAGCACCGTGTACCTTGCCCCAGGTTCCTATTGATAGCGGATACTAGGAGTTTCGTTCTTATTCAGATCTACAGCCCCAGTATCTCGCCTCAATTCCCCGAGATTCTTGTCACTGGTGCAAACCTATTTCTTTTATTTTACCCTTTCTCTTATCCGTTATTCTTACCCAAATTTCTCCTGCTTCCACTTAACTGCAGCTCTGCATTCCCCAAAAGACCCTGAATCTCTCAATGTAGTCTTATATATACCCTTTGGACTAGTCTACTTTAAGCTTAAGGGAGGACAGGTTATTCCATTCTAACCTTACATCTGGGTCTTCTTTGCGTTTTGAGTTTCCAATAACCATTACAATAATTTCAATGTAGTAAACCTGAGAATGGTTATCCATTGCGTTTGTACAAACTTACATTTATTTACTATTCCTCACTAGAGGGCGCTGTGCAAGCTTGTGTAGCACATAAGTGCATTGTTTTGACAAAACCTAAATGCAAAGCATAAAAACAATTTTTTTAGTAGTTGTAGACGAGTGAGTCAACCCACAGTATTGCATTTTTACAGATTTAGTCGTGGGGGCTCCTTATGAAGACGACAACAAAGGTGCTATTTATATCTTTAATGGAGGATCTCCCCAAATGGACGCTACATTTTCACAACAGATTTTGGCATCAAAACTCAACACGGATCTTCGTGGATTCGGATTTTCCCTGAGCAAGTCCACAATTGACGTGGATTCCAATACATTTCTAGGTATAGATATTAATTTGGATTGTTGGTTTCAGATACTGTAAATCACCATTTTTTTGCGAGAACTTATTTTTGCGAGATAGATATTTGGTATTTATCCTTAAAATTGCTAGCATATGACTGCCATGTCGTTCAGATGTTTTACATAATTTAATTTAGGTTGTAAATAAAATACTTATTCATCATGTATGAAAAATATATATTTTAAATATTGTTGTTCGTTTTTGTACAGATATTTCGGTGGGATCTCTCCTTTCTTCAAATGCTGTTGTTCTCCGAACGCAATCTATCGCCAACATCACTGTGACTCTGACGTTGAATCCGGTTAAAATTCCATTGAATTCAACGGGACTTGCATGCAGAGGAAATAACGACAATCCATGCACTTCCGTTCAGATTTGTTTTAGCTACACTGGGGACGGACTAAATAACGGAATTTGTATGTTTTAGTTTCTTTATTTATACTTAGAGTTACATGGTACGTAATTTTTTATTATATAAATAGTGCACGTTTTTGAGGGTAACAGTTGAAATTGACACCCCAAGGAAAACCATTGTCAACCGACGCGTCAGCGGAGGTTGACAATGGTTTTCCGAGGGGTGTCAATTTCAACTGTTACCCTCAAAAACGTGCACTATTTATTTTATTATACTGAATGTCTTATTGATTTCGGATGTCATAAAAAATTTCGGAGATCGTCGTTAACTTCACGCTTAGAAAGCTTTCAAACTCCCGCAGGGGCTGACAAATAGATTTTTTAAGTACTTGCCCATGGGCTAGTACATGGTCAGAATTCACTAGGAATACCTGAATTTTTACTTGCCCCACCATAAACTATGAAAATAGGAAGACAAAAAATGATTATTATAAGTGCTCATTTCCACTTAAAACTAAGACTTGTTATTTTTTTTCCTTGAAAAAGTCACTTGCCCTCGGGCAAGTGGTTAATAAAAATTCACTTGCCCATCCCCAAAATTCACTAGTCCCGGGCTTCGGGCAATGGGATTTTTCTGCCCCTGGACCCGCTTCTATTTTTCTCAATAGGAAAGCTTCCTAAAAGATTTACCAACCTCTTTATTATTTGTTTGCTACTCAAAAAGTCCTTTATCACCTAAAGTTTGCACTCGCAAGGATGTTTTGTCTGTCTTTTGTCTTTTTCAAGTAAGCTACATCGGACGCAAGCTTTTATTGACGTCGTTTATTCGGCTTCTTTCAAATGCACAACCGACGTTTTGAGAATTCTACGGTGAACCGTACGCGCATGATTTGAACGCATGTGATATTTTCGTAATGTTACCCGTTGTCAAGTGTGTTGCTAACGCTGAGGGTAATATTACGGATTGTTAAATGTGTCTAAACCAATAAGATTTTAGTATTTAACATGAAAGAATAATAAAAATGTATAATTCATGTTAGTGGCATTGTAAATGTAAATTGAAAATGTTGGTTCAGGTTGCTTAAGAAAAGCAAATTTCGAAGAAAACCATCACTAATTTCTTCTCGTATGTTGAAGTAAGTGCAGTACTCTGATATGTTGGTTAAGGAAGATTAATTTTCAGGAGTTCTGAATATTCATTTTCGGAGAGTGAATGTCCACACCTTAAAAAATTTGAGACGTATTGGAAGAGGTGTTTTTAAGATGGAGCCGGGCCAGTCTTTGTTGAAACAAAAAGAATTAATTAACGAGTGTCGGCAGAAAGTTCAGGCTTGGACTTCTTGAGCTGGTCTGTGTTCTGGGTCACTAGATTTAAGGGAGTTTAGTGCAAGCTGTTATCGTTAACACATGGGATACACTTTGCTTTCAATAAAGTATACATGAAGCAATATAGCGAATTGAACTCTTTTAAATTAAACACTGGTCACAATTTTGAGTTGCATGTACAATGCATACTGGTTCCTCTTTTTAGATATCGACTACACATTGACCTCGGATTCAGATCGAACTGATCTTAACGATCGCCGCTTCACGTTTTACATGAACAATGTGGATGGAGGAAAAATTTACAAGAAAATGGAACTCTTAATCCGCAGTGGTGTGAATCAATGCGAAACTTTACACGCAAGAGCAGCTGTAAGAACGCCAATTATTTTATGCTTTTCTAGAGGGTTGCTTCTTGGAACATAATGTTGTTTGAATTTTTCATTTCGTATAATCATTTTATCGTGCAGCAATTTCGTCATAGGAAATGCATAACTAAAGTTGGGGGTTCTGTATTAGATAGATCAAGATTTATATATCGAGTTTTTCAAATTGTTTCTTTTGTTTTACTTTCAACGTGAAAGGTTTAATATTATAGCAAATCGGCAAAAGGATTTCAATTTACGCGCAATTTTACATTTCACTTAATTATTATTTTTAATAAGAAAAACAATCGTTAAAAGAGAAAAAATAAATGTTGTAGATGACGGACAGGAATTTTTTCTCACGGGTCAACGATGATCCCATGTTTGACTTAACTTATCAAATCAGCAACAGATCGGCGTCAGGCGAGGTGAAGCCGGTATTGGACAGAAACCAGGCGTCAGACACTAATATCACGGTAGGTAGATATCAGACATTAATATCACGGTAGGTAGATATCAGACATTAATATCACGGAAGATAAATAGCAGACACTAATATCACGATAAGTAGATATCACGGTAGGTAGTTATCCTTACTGAATGTGTAAATGCCGGGTAGGATGAGGGCGAAGTTTTCCCATGATGAAAATGATTTAAACTTAGATGACGATAAACTATAACTATACAGTTGAACTTCGATATCTCATTATTGATATTCTTTATGTATTTTAACCTCAATATCTCAAATCCTCTGGTATGTTCTCGTTTTTTTCTCTGTCCCATCAATTTAGAGATAAGGACAATCTGATTAAAATCAGATCCTTTGAACCGCTCACATAGATCGCTACACAAGGATCTGAAGAAACTCCATTTAGAGTCATCTCCTGGTGACCTTTCCAATAAAAATATTCATTAAAATTTTGACCAATCAGAGAGGTTGTACTTAAGCGACATTCGGGGAAATGAATGTAGAAGTGAAAGTAGCTGTGGAAAAGATCTTATCCTTTCTTACTAAACAAAGAGCTAAAAAACAAGGCAAAAGCAAATACTACACATATTTCTGTACAGAAAAGACTGTAGTCGTTTTTTTTTGACAGGCTACGGAAACCAGGTTTTCCGTTCGTGTATCATCGTGGCTTTTACTTCTGTAACTGTATTCCGAGATACTTCTAAATTCTCGAAAGCAAAGGTTTGATTGGATAATTGAAAGGTCACCAGGAGATGACCCTGAATGGGGTTTGTAGCGATCTATGTGAGCGGATCAAAGGATCTGATTTTAATTAGATTAGAGATAAGGAGGTTTGACTGTCGTTATTGTTTTTTGTTGTTATTGTTGGACAGGGTGAGTTCCGAACAGAATGTGACCCCGAGTGTAAGCCAGACCTAACAATCACTGGACGTCCTCTGACATCGTTGATCACTGTGGGACGCACGCAGGAACTTGAAGTGGAGCTTCTCGTTATGAATTTGGGAGATCCGGCGTATGGTGCCTCGATTTTGGTATCCAACGACATAAACGTGCCTTTAACAAGTTACGCAGTTTTGTTAGAGCAAGGCTCGGAGCGAATGACATGTGCTTCAGAAACAAACGGCACGCGATGTGTGTTTGAAACAACGCCGCTTTATCCACAACAGAGGGGTTTGGTCCGCCTTCGATATGACGTTTCAGTTGCTCGACTATTAGAAAAGGGATTACGGAATCTTCCTGCGAAGATCCAGATCACTTCTACAGCAGATGTATCTGGAGACATTAATCCCAGCAATAATGTGATTCAGATGAGTACGGATCTGCAACTGGAGGCAACGATACAGATGATAGGGTAAGAACTGGGAGACAACTCAAGATTATGCGGATAAAAAAAGGTTTCCCCAGAGGGCGCGCTATGCAAGATTTGAATTTTACGCCCGGTAATAATCAGAGATGCATCGATGATGCTTCTACATGTAGTATGTTTCATTATACCAGCAAGGTTTCAGATGCTGCAATTTCGGCTACAGAATGACCAGGTTAATGTTTTTGGAGCAGGTTAAAGTTTTTGGAGCAGGTTAAAGTTTTTGAGCAGGTTTAATATTTTGGAGCATGACTCATTTCCAAGTAACTTTGGGCCATATTCTGACCAAACTTGCATGGATGATACATCTAAGGATGCACACTACTAGGCTTGCTTCAGATGCTGGACTGGATCTGACTTACACTTTTCCGGATGAATGACCAGGTTAAAGTAACTTATATATAATTTATTACCTTGTCATTGGTCATTTGCAAAATTATTTTGTTAAAAAACATTCTGATTGTACACATAAGTACTCTGAAGTTGATATTAAAAAGATGCTTGAGTTTTTGTTTGACAATATATATATTGGTTTTTGGAGACAAGGTCTTCCAACAATCTGTTGGAATTCTAATGGGTACCAATTAAGCCACGTCGTTAGAAAACCTATTTTTGTATTCAAATGAAGCAGCATTTATTCAATATTTTATACATGAGAAAAAGAAATCTCTTGCTGTGACATTCAACTCGACATTTAGATATATGGACGACGTATTATCAATTAACAATAGTTATTTCCATTCATATGTCGACACGATATATCCCAGTGAGCTTGAAGTAAAAGATACCACAAAGTCTGACACATCTGTTTCATCTTTGGATATTTTACTAGAAAAAGACGTTAATGGTAATCTGTTTCATATTTGGATATTTTACTAGAAAAAGACGTTAATGGTAATCTAACAAGAAAGCTTTATAATAAACGTGATGACTTTAACTTTTCAATCGTCAAATTCCCTTACTTATGCAGCAATGTACCCTCATCACCTGCATATGGGGTGTATATCTCTCAGTTGATTTGATACGCAAGAGCATGCTCTACGTATGAACAATTTCAAAAACGAAATAATTAATTGACAAACAAGTTGATGAAACAAAAATATCAACAGTCTCCTTTAAAGTCATCTTTTCGTAAGTTCTGTGGTCGATACAATGACCTTGTCAGCAAATACAACCTTTCATTAAGTGAAATGCTGACAGGCGTTTTTCATACTAATTGTTAGGCCATTATTTACACACTGAATTCCGTTATTTCCTGAGCATGACAAGGAGCACACGGCGGCAGTGATCGGTCGACAGGGGATGCTCACTCCTCCATGGCACATGACCCCATCTCTTATGTTTTTGGAGGTCCTAGTTTGCTCTGCTCCTGATTTGTATTGTTTAAATGGACTTTGAGCTTGAATACTGTTCGTTATCTCCATATTTCACGCAAATAAAAGATATTTCGTAACAATTAACAGCTGATTGCAATTTTTCTTTAGCATAAATGATAACTCTTCATTCCTGAGGGAAAATTATGTATATGCAGCAAGTCTCTTTTTTTATTTTCCTTCTTTAAAAAATGACCATTTAAATCGTTAAATTTGTGAAATAGGATAATTCTTAATAAATACCAGAGGTGCACAACAATAAAGTTAGAGTCAGACATGATATTATTTGATCTTTTCAGCACTGGTTAGGATAATACTACCATTGTAATATATCTTGTTTCATATTTGAAGTTCTTCGTCGCCTGACCAAGTGAGAATGACTCCACAGAAACGCTCCAAACTCTTACTGTACCAGGCTTACTCGATCAGTACACTAGGCCCAAGTCCCCTACCGGAAGTGAAGGTCGTGTTTAGTATTCCAGTAATCACAAACGGCAAAGTGATTGTGCCCGAGTCAGAACTCAAAGTATGGAAAAGTATTTACAAAATTTTAAAATACCATTGAATATTAGTGTTCATGTATACAAGTGATATTTTTTATTTGTAAAATATTGAATAGTAAATATGAAACTGTGTGTTTGAAATATTTTCAGCTGATTGATCTGAAAATTCGTTTTCATAATTTGACACATTTTTTTCTGATACTGTTTTGTGAAAAGAATGAGTAAGTTGCATTTTTTTAATATTCAGGTGACAGAGTTTACTCCCACTGACAAATGCAATATGACGTCCTTCCCAACACTCGCTTCTGTGACGTCATCACCCTCCATCGGACAGCCTAGTGTGGTCATCAACACAGAAAATTCACTACCTTTAGTGAGTTAATACATCCATAAATTCGTTGAAGTTTTATATTTAAAGCTATTTTTACTGCAGAAAAAAGTGCAAAGAACAATGAAGATAATTTAATTTGAATAAAATAAAAACAAAGCTATCTAGAATAATGGGAGTGCCTGATTAGATTCTTGTTTTATATGCAAATATGGCTAGTATGACTAGTGGTAAGATTTTAAATAAGCAATTAAGTTAAACCGTATATATAAGTCTTAAAAAACATGGATATTTATACCAATTCGAACAATCTTAAGGATAATGTTCCAGTACAATATATATTTATTAAAGAAATATTTATGTAAGTACAAATACAAGTATATATACATATCTATATAAGGCCTGTAGAACCGGGGGGGGGGGGGCATTTTTTTTCTGAGAATACTGTATACATGGAAATTTTCGCCCCTTTCGCCCTATTCACTGGTGGGGGAATTTAAAATGGGGCAAAGTAAAAAAAAAAAACCAGCGTAAATTCTAAAACAGAACTATGATATGGCAAATTTAAAACGGGGCAATATATATATATATATATATATATATATATATATATATATATATATATATATATATATATATATATATATATATATATATTCTCCCGTCTATGATCGAACTCGATCGAGCAAATTCTAGCGTTTGAAAAAAAAATTACCGAAAAGTTTGAAAAGTTGATTGTCAAATATTTTTGGCCTCCCCCCCCCCCCCCCAACTTTGAGAAACGTTGTTACGGACCTGCATGTGCATTTATGTTAGTTAGTACAAGTACCGGTATAAATACTTTTACTGTTTTAGGGATGTGAGGAAAGCGGTGTAGGTTGTGCTGTATATGAATGCAAGATTAGTGAATTAACAGTTGAAAGTCTGCATGGTTTCATCATCAATGGCAATATTTCCGAAGAAAACCTCCCGGAACTCCAAGCGGTATTGATTTAAGATAAACAAAACAGCACGCGATAACTTGTATCCTACTGTAAACAAAGTGGATACTATAAATAATAATGCAAAAATTAGCATTTATACTGTATACAAAATGGATGTTGTGTAACATAAAAAACAATATTTTTGTTCTATAAACTGAATAAAAGTTTTTACTGTAAACTATCCTGTAAGCTGAGTAAAAGTTTTTACTGTAAACTATCCTGTAAGCTGAGTAAAAGTTTTTACTGTAAACTATCCTGCAAGGTGAGTAAAGGTTTTTACTGTAAACAAATGGATTATTCTTTACAGTTGATGAAGTGGATGACGTATATCCTTTTATTAATTAATTAGATGCCACATTATATACCACATATATACACTCGGAAGATATAGGCTGAATCAGATCTTGTGACAATGATTACTTTTATGCATATCAAAACAAAAATACTTTTTTTTAAAAAATTAACAACTGATAGATTATTTTTCAAATACTTTTTTATTGAATTTTTATGTCCCGGTATCAAAGATTCAGGGGTATATAGTTTTTGCCCTGTCCATCCGTCTGTCTGTTTGTCTGTTTGCTTGTCCGCAAAAACTTTAACATTGCAAATAACTTTTGATTGGTTGGAGCTATGGCTTTCATATTTCACATGTGTATTCCTTGTGACAAGACCAGTCTTTGGGTACCATCATTTTTTACCTTGACCTTGGAGTTTGACCCAGTTTTGCAAAATTTTACCGAACTTTTACCTTGGCCATAACTTTTGAACGATTTGTGCTAGGGCTTTCATACTTCATATGTGTAATCCTCGTGACAAGACCTTCCTTTGGATACCAACAACTTTGACCCTTTGACCTTGACCAAGGAGTTTGACCTACTTTTGAAAAAAAGCCTTGGCCATAACTTTTGAATTATAGGTGCTTCGGATTTCACATTTCACGTGTGTATTTCTTGTGAGAAAACCTTTCCTTGGGCACCATTAATTTTGACCATTTGACCTTGATACTTGACTTACTTTTGAAAAACTTTAACCTTTTCTATATCTATTAAATGGTTGCTGCTAGGGCTTTTATATTTCACAGGTATATTCCTCGAGACGAGACCTTACTTTGGGTATCAACATATCTGATTTGCATTTGAGAAAGTTTAACCTTTTTAACCTATAAGTTGTGTGTTTCACCAACACATCTTGTTTTTTTAGAAATAAAAACAAATCTTAGTGCCTTAAGTCACAGGGAGGGGGCAGTACTTGAAAATTGCATATATAAGGAATGCAAAAGTAAATTGTAAAAACAAATACTATAACGTCATTTTTTTTCGCAACATTTTTATTTTCTAAAACGTCTACAGTGAAACAGTTTTATCTTGTATTGGATAATTTATCAGAATGAGGGTGAAGAAATGCTAATGTATATATATATAAAGCCTGTAAGACTAACTTTACCTCCAGGGTTGTTACGTAATTTTTATAATCAGTACTGATCAATATACAAAAATAGAATTTTCTGCAGTTTTCGTCGTATTTAATCTCCTTAGGCACAAGACAGATTATTTTATGTGGATATATTTCTGCCTTTTTTATGCTATCTTTTACAGAAGAGTTCAGATAAGGGAAGTAATTCGATGATGATATTTAAAAAATACACTTAAAATTTAAAAGAAAAGTTACTTTGAGATGAGGAATAAATTAATATTTTTTCTGTGAAATTTTAGGGCATTACTCAGATTCGGTACTACACAACAGGAGTTGTCTACCCCTCAGAAACATTAGGAATCCCCCTTAAGTTGGCCTCCAATGTCAGCTTCTCGGTAAGCATTTCAATTTCAGACGTCTTAGGTCCGCACCGTTAACTCCGCGTAAGTTAATATAAAATATGATATTATTATAATGGTCAAATTTCATCCGATGAAATAACAACTGATGCACTGTAAAAGCAAGATAACCTGTTTGTCAGGTAACTTTGTTGTATGGAATATTTAATGGTTTTGCAGCCTTTCAGGGCACTTAAGGTCACTGAAAGTATTTATGTACTATAGGGTATATTGGTGAGTATTGGCTTAAGTTGGCTATACAAATGGACAAGCTAGGAAGTGCATTTGTACAGCCAAAGACTGCCAATATTCATCAACATATGTTCGATAACTCCTTTATTATATAGCTTAGACATTTCCTATTGATTTATTCTAAATATTTCCATTAAATAACGCAAAATTAATAATAATTTTTTAATATTGTATGTCTATGTATATCAGTGAAATATATTTTTCATTGGATAATTAAATAACACATGCATATACACTAATAACATATTACACGAATCTGTAATTGAGTACTAGTAAATAAAAACCAAAGGTAGTTCAATAAATTTAGGGTGGAATTATCTACTCCAAAAAATCCGACTTAAAAATATTTTGAATTTAAAATCATACCCCAGTACTAAAAAAAAAGTATTTCTTGTGGGAGGGGGGTCTCCCTTGTCTTGGACAACCTGCTCTTGAAAGAATGTTCGCTTCAGTCCGGGGAGCCAATGTAACCGTAAAACCCTTTCTTAGCGAATATCTTAATGCTTGCAAGATTGAGAGAATATTAAGTTCATCTTTATTCTTGACAGTGTAGATATTTTAAATGATTCATTTTTGTTGGGAGTTTAAATAAATCCTTCAATCTCCTTAGGCCATCAAGCAAATACCTCGCATTTTTATGGATTACATAGATATTAATATTGAATGCATATAATGTTTATTGCGTTTCTGAACTCAGAATCAAATGCTGTATGGAAACCGAAAAAATAATGCATGCAATAAGTACATGTGTATCTGTATGATCTTAGAACTGTTTGGTACACGATGCAGTTTCCTCCTTCAAATAAAAAAAGGAACAAAACTCTTTGTAATAAGTAAAACTCTTTTTTCTTTCTTTACATGTTTAGATCAGTAACATCAAAACATACGACTTTTCAACACTTTATACAACCATTCCTCACGAACAATTAAAGTCCAGAGTTTTTGACATAGACAGCTGTTTTTTAAAATAAAAATGGAATTCATAAATATATTTACCTTGTAATTGGTCATTTGCAATTTTTTTGTCGAAAATATTCTGATTGTACACACAAGTACTCTGAAGTTGATATAAAAAAAGATGCTTAAGTGTCTGATTGACAACATCTACGTAGTATTATGATTAGTGTTACGATAAGGAGCACACGGCGAGTGTGACAGGTCGGCAGGGGATGCTCACTCCTCCATTGCACCTGATCCCACCTCTGCCCCGATTTGTATTGTTTAAATGGACTTTGAGCTTGAATACTATTCGTTATCTCCATATTTCATGTTTAGAATGTTCTTGACAACTCCATTGACTTACGTTCTATTTCGCCAATTCACATCTTCCTCAATAGGGAAGTGTGATAGTGTTTAGTTCTTAGGAATTAAAACATACGTATCTTTATAGGCAGTGCTTCCCATCTTTCCGAATGATATTACCCCAGCGCCCCAGGAACTTAACTTATGGCCCCTGATTGTGGGTCTTGTAGTGGGCGTCCTGTTGATGGTACTATTAGGAATAATTCTCTGGAAGGTAAGTTTTTCTCAAAAGTAATTTGGACCATCAGTGTTTAAGTATTGTAAAGAATTTTCGTACCTATGGGCGTATCTCCATTGAATGTATTTGTATATGTTTTCAGATAGGTGTATTGATAAAAACTCCCTTAGTATCTTGTCTCTATGTACAAATAACTCGTTAGAAAAAAATCATCTCTCTTTATACACGTAGACCAATAAGTATAATTTTCCTAGAACTTTGGCAGAGAAAATATACACGTGTATATGTTAATATAATCCAATTATTTATGATTTTACAGCTAGGGTTCTTTAGAAGGAAAAAGAGAGAGGAACTGGACCAGTACAAGAGGAAAAGTTACGCCTACCAGAGACAAAGCCGCGCTTTGTTACGTGCCACTAAAGATATGGATAAATCGGAGAGAGAAATATTGTCTCAATACTCGCAGATAAATTAGTTTTTTATATGTCTGTAATAAAGAACGCATGTCTAGCAAGTGTTTACAATTTTGTTGAAAAAAATGGTCTTAAATACAGGTACAAGAAAATTTTAATATGTACTGTTGAAAATGCTTAAGTTCTCTCTATATATCTAGAATTTAGTTTTTTTCAAACTGATCAACTGTGTAAAATTGATACAGTACAAATGAAAGGATATTTGTAAAGGTTATGCATATTTCGAAAGAGAAAATACATGAGACCAAATTGTATATGTTCTTCTTTGTCAAAGATATTGTGATTATAAACCTCAAATCTCATTGAATAAGTCTGTTCGAGGTATCTCGATAACTCTAACCATGAAAACTGTGTTTACTATATTTATTATGCGTTATAATGTGTAAGAAAATTACTGTATTAGACTATTTTGTGAAGAAGTTTAATTAGTACCTCCTTTTTAACTTGTAGTTATTATTATGAAGAAGGGAAAACAGAATCATTTGCTTTTTTTCATGAGTTTCAGACAGGATTTTGAAAACCTAAATTAAAAACAAACTATGTGTATGAAACACCGATACCCCTGTATGGCAGCTCATGACCAAAGTGAAAGTTTTTGAAAAGTAGGTCAAACTTCAAGGTCAAGGTCAGGATGTGAAAAAGTTTGGTAAAAGTGTGTAAACGCAATTCCCATTCCTCCATAATCAGTATGAATAAAAGTCAGAAAAGGTAAATGTTTGTACAGTGAAAATTGTCTCTTTTTGCATTGTTCTTTTCTAATGCATTTTGATAATATCTTTCTGGTTTCTGGTTTTCTTTTCATAAAAAAAATGCCTTATATAAGAATTCAGAGTAGTTATACTAACTTTAAATATTTATTTTTATCTAACGTTAACACTTTCGAAAATATTTTGAATTTATTTTGGAACTGTGATGTTTACATGTACACAGTAGAAATTTACCTTTACATGTACATGTATTATTGTTTCACCACGAAATTAAAATCACTATACAGATTTGTAGTATAACTGTTTTGATTTTGTTTGTCGTAAGCGTCTTATTGTTAAAGAAAAAAATTTAGAAATTTTATCTTCTGTATATTACAAACACGCCCATAAAAAGACCCAAATATCCCTCTTTTTTTATTCTGTTCATTTTGTATTTATGCGTTATTAAATATCATTATCCATTCTTATTGTATGCGTCATTTTTTAGGCAATCTCTGTTTTGGACAATAGATAATTTTTATAAATTTGAACAATTATACATGACAAAAGATAATTTTTATAAATATGAACAATTATACATGACATTTTCCTCAAGAATGATATTTTGTTTGTTTCACTGCAAAAGATATGGAACTTAGATACTACAGTTACATGTTTACATGAAGAATATTTATTAGAGTGTATGTTCTTAATTTCAGTTATAATGAACATCATATTGTTTAAATGTTTTATCTTTCTTGGAAAAAAAATTATTATGATTTATCCCAATTATTGGTAACTTTGTCAAGAAAACAAAGTAAGACCATTCCAATTTTTTCCTTTGTTTAGTGTCTGCAAGCACCTTGTTTTTTTCACCCCAGATCAGAAATAACGCGCAAAAATAGAAGTCCAGAATGCTTTTTAATTTTTTGTCGATTTCTTTTGATATTTGTCGAGAAACTGTCAACTGTGTAATATACTTCGCATTTGCTACCGTCTTTTTGAAAAAGAATACATCTTTCTACAAGAAATATAGAATAATGAAATAAAATCTTTTAAATGACATCGTTCTTTATGACCATTAAGTGTATGCTTTACTCTTCGGCTTGTGTGTGGGTTTTTTTTTTTTTTTTTGAAAATCGGTTCCTGTTAAAAATAGGTGGACGCTAAATATAAAAGAAAATTGGAGTGGTTTAAATAAATGTTTTTGTTGAATAAAATGATAAAACAATGATCAATAAAACGAACAATGAAAACATAACAAACAATTTTGATGCTTTGTTAAAAAAAGGTTATACTCTAAGGAGTTGATTTTTCATTGTGCCAAATGTGTCATTGGAATTGAGAACATCAAAGCATGGGTAGAAATTGTGCTTTGCAGATTAACATGGGTGAATAAACGACAGTAAAAATTGTCATTTACATTTTAATATTTTGTGTTTGTTTCACTCTGATGAATGTTTAGAACTGCATGATAAACACAACAGACAACAGAACACATACTTCATTTTTACAACAACGACATTCAGAAATCAAAGGAAGAATGTGATCAAAATGGTATATCCTTCTACGAGAAATTAATATGATGTTGTCTTTGTGATATGTTGTCAATATGTCAATAGATATGTATTATTTTATTTACTGTATGTTTATGATTAACTAGTTTTTTTTAATGAAACTACATTTTCAATTTATAGGTAAAGATTAAATTATTTTGTCTTTAGAATTTTATTATCAACAATTTTAGTCACAGATGATTAATATGCACTATTCGGATAGATTTATGGATTCTACAGTTATATACCAAATAATTATACTTCATTTTCAATTTATAAGTAAACAGGTAGATTATGTTTTCTTTGGAATCTTTTTGTCTCTTAAATATGCATAACAAATGTACATCGTTTTCATTTCTTTTGTTAAATGACTTGACCTTTAAGCTAAGGTGAGCAAAACACTATCAGTACATTAATTTCTTAAAATCAAAAAAAAATTCTCATTCTTGAATTGGTGGAGCAAAAACTCACAAAAATATTTATGGTTGAAAAAAAAAAAAAACAAAAAAAAAACGAAATTTTAAGAATGAAAAATTCCTACAAACAATACAAATTTGTGAATAGGGCATAGAAACGGATACCTGGAAATTCCAGAGGTAGGATCAGGTGCCTAGAAGGAGTAAGCAGCCTCTATCGACCTGTCACACCGCCATGAGCCCTATGTATTGTCATGTATTGATCAGGGTGACGGAATAATCCGTAGTCAAATTAGCATGAAAACAGTTGTTTAACAATTGGTAAGAAATATGTCCTTAATTCAAAATGCTAACATGAAACTTTATCAAGTTGGTATATTTTTATTGCATGGGTCACAAAGTTGCAGGCGCAATGATACTTCACTCGTCCCATAACATTAAACGCTTTGGATTCATTGTGCAAGATTTAAACATTTTTTTTTTCTACCCTTGTCTTAACATGTTCTGTACATTGCTGGTTATGTTTTCCAAGAAGTTCAAGGTCATTTAATGTAAACATTACAAACAGTTGACGCTATGCCACTTAGTGCATACAAAAAAATCATAATTACTTTCTTATTATCGTTTTGATGTAATTGGTGATAATGAAATATGACAGTCAAACTGTGTTACGTGGGCACCCAGAACATTTAAACTCCGACTAATTTGTCTGAATATTAGTCACAAGACGCTCGGAAGGATTTAAGATAACGGCTGAAAAGTATAACAGACGTCATGTAATTAATTATTCCCTACTTGAAGAAGTCTTTATTGTGTTGGAAAACGTTTACGGTTTGTCATTTTTGGATGTCTGTCGGTCAGGCGTACTTTAAAAAAAATCTACACGACTTCAGTTTGTTGGAATAGACATAATAATAATAATTAAAGTCTCATTTTCAAAGCTATTACAAAGAACAAAAAATCAGACATTCACAAAGAGCATCATCAGAAGAGGATAGATATTCTGATATCTACATTTTCAGCCTTAAATAATACTGACATTCATCTGTTACATAGAACTTATAGAAATTACACAGTCTGACATGAAATATATACAAATGTAACCGGTACTTAAAAAAACGCAGTCAAGAAATTTTTTTGCTTAATGTTTCAAAAATATCAAATAGAGAAAGAAATAGAGGGTACTGGATATGTTTATGTCTGTTTTACGGTTATGGTATTTATTCCTGCCACATGGCACTGATAATATAGCAGACCTGATAAGAAATATACTTTCTAAATATTTGGACCTGAACTTTCAGTGATGAAACGTTTAAAATGTTTAAGCTGTGTGATTTGCAAATACTTATTATAGAGAGAGAATATTCAATGTTTTGTAGTTGGATAAAGAATTTATTTCACGAGTGGGACATGATTTTTTTTTTTTAATATTTCACGAATTCGAAAATCCGTCTCACGAGAGAAATAAATTCCATATCCAACTACAAAACATTGAATGTTCTGTTTATTACCTATTCTTTTGTTCCCTTTTCCTCTGTCTTTTCTTTACACATTGTCGTAGGCTGTAATTTCGTAGTTGAGCAGTTGAGACATCATAGCGTAGCAATATTGTGAGATTGAAAACATTGTAACATGGATTTTAGCATCATATTTGGGAAGAAATTAGCAGTTTTAGTCTCCATCAAGATGGTTAATTTCTATTCCTTTCTTAATATGAAATGTCAGAAATTATTTTTGCTTTCTTTGGAATCCTTTCACACTGTGACAGAATATCACTTGGTATCCTTTCACAGTTTGAAGATGATATCATTTTTATTCAATCAATCAATAAATCACAGTATTTCATTGTTGAATATATATATATATATATATATATATATATATATATATATATATATATATATATATATATATATATATATATATATATATATATAATATTATATATATATACCCGCCTCACGGATTTTAAGTTCTTTTATAAAATGTAATTTTGTTTTTTTTCTTTAATGTCTTCCTCGTGTATTACTTGCATTTGAAATATTTCTAGGTTAATTCCCACCTCATATATTGCTAGAGGCTGTTTAACTTGCGTTTCAGTCGTCTGGCAGTTACAAAGCACGATGTCTGTGGTTTTGTACTAGCATTCTAAGAGATAATCTAACCGAGTAAGAAAATTGTGGTTAAAACGATAATTCAATCTCCATTGATGTATGGATATAGAAGTTCGTCTCAACAGATCAATATATCTTATGAAAATGTACATAAATACCACATCAAACGTTTCCACATTTAGAGATGAAGGTGATTTAAGTACGAAATATAATCAAGATATGCTAAAAATCTTATTATAGTTGCATACATGCATGCTCCAACAGCTGTTTTATGAAATGTTTACACATTTTTTTTTCTTTACTCTCAATATAGATATTGTCATTCAATGAACCAATACTG